CAGCCGAGAACGAATTTTTAAAAATTGTTTTGTAATATAATTGATTTATTTAGAAATTTAAATACAGCAAAAATCTTGGCTTCTCCAATAAAATAAAATAAAAAACTGTACTCGAAATTCGGCAAGTTTAACACCACAAACTGTACAATTTCGGAAAATCCTACTGACTGTGCCAATTACAAAACTCACAGTCAAAAACGTGTTTTTAAAAATTATTTTGTAATAAAACTTCTTTATTCAGAACGTAAAATTTCGAGTATACTAACAACTATAAACTAAAACCTCTTAATAAAATAAAACATGGGTTATATATAGTCTTTCTACACTTCGTAAGCATATTGGATAATCCAGGGTCATGGCAACTGACAAATATATAACAAAAAGAAATCATTAAGAAAGCTCTTGTGGTACTCTGTGACTGATATATTATTACAATAAGTACTTGTAATAGTTCAGCGAAGTTTTTTGTCTGGAGACTAACCCAGCAAGGTTGCAAATAGGTTTTTTGGGTACTATATACCTAGTACATTAAAAATATAAAAATATCAGTCTCAGTTCGGAGGCATAAGAATTAAAAAATATACTCACATATCCAAAAATAGCGAAACAAATTGCATGAAATGACTACTTACCAGTTCCGAAGAAGGTAACTGGATTAACGTTATACTTCTGTCCATCCGCACGCTGTCCATTAGATCTATAATAATTTCTATATAGCTCCTGCGCTCGTTCTGGCGAGATTCCTACAAATTAAGTTAATAAATATTGCATAGTGGAATTTTATTATTCTCAGCATCGCTCTGAATGGCTTGATTAAGCTTGGGTTATACAGTTTACTTTAATTGCTATCGATATTTAACTTCATGTTTCCTCACTAGAGACCTCTAGTAGCATACTCTGGTAATTATTTTTATTATAATTGCCTTAGTAGTCAGTGCGTTTTAATAAATATTAGTCCAGTATACACGGTAGAAATATAGTAAAATCTCCAATTTCCATAAACTCATTTACCCATACCTTAGAAACCAGCGAAAAAAAAAGTATAAAGGAACTTAGCCTATTAGACTAGTGAAACAATAGTCGCTATGGTAAATAACGTCGTTATGGTAAATAACGTGGTTATGAAATTAGATGACCATTCATTTGGAACATAACAGTACACTTTTATATAACATTACTTATTCTAATCGTAGTTCGTACTTATGTGAAGTTGCTATGAGACTACCTCATTATTACCAATACGTGTTACATTAACTTGCCATCTTGACGTTAAATTAGTTTCTGATCCTCTAGATAATAATCGTTGTCTCTTTTATAATAGTCCTTGCATATATCAGCAGTTTATTTATTAGTTTGTCAAGTTTGTTTTATTGACCTAGGACAACTATACGTCTTGATTAGCAATTCTGCTGACTTACACATTCTAATTCGAGGCTATTTTATGAATGTCCTCGATTCGAATTATTAAACATATTTTATAGAAACAAATGCGAAACTATGTTACACGTTTCTTTTTAACTTATTCTTTATATGAATTATAATATTTTTAGAGATAATACCACATCGCTAGTAAATTAGATTTTATTGAAGAAAATGAAAATATTGAACAAACGTTGTAGTTCCATTTAGTCCTAGTTTTTTAATATAATCAATAACAAATAGGTAAAAGAAATAATTAATAAATAATTAATAAATTTTACGTATTTGAAATGTACTCACACAAGCTACACATTCATGATTTTATCATCAATAACCTATTAAATCTTTTTTGGCCCTAAGTATTTTGAGTTTTTTAAAAAAATGTGTATAAATTTGAAACATTCTTTAGAATAATTCCGTTGGTGTATTTTCGTAAAACCTTATTTTTCAGTTGCAAACATGTCTCACAAGCATTGTGTTTTTTGTTTCATGTCAAAATATGCCTTGGTTTATTTTTAAGAACCAAATGAATTTCCAACCACAATTTAGGACTTTTTTAATTATGATTATTTTGGAGTTATTTTGTAATACGACGAGATGGCTTTGGTGACTGTTAGCATTGTCATATTGACACTTACATTTTGTTTACCTATGATTGATCATAGTTATTGCTTTGGTTGATGATGGGCGAAATTCTGAATATGTGGCTAGAGTACTACACACTCATCGCTCTATCATCCAAAGGGTAGTGAAACGTTTTATACGAACTGGAACAAACAAGCATAAAGGGGGAAGTGACAAGAAGCGCAAAGCTACCGCTTTAGATGATCGCTTTATACGAGTTAACGTGTTGAGGGATCGTCATTTAACAAATCTTGTTAGAAAGCTTTAAAATGTTCGAGGCAATAAAGTGTATTTACAGTTCATCGAAGATTACATGAATTTGGTTTGCAAAGTTGCAGACCAGCAACTCACTTCACTCAACAATCGAATTAATTTGAGAATCTGAAGGTTAACAACCATACATAGAAATATGCCTCTACTTTTCCCTACCTAGGCTCAATAATAAATGACAACAACAACATCAGTCAAGAAATACAAGCACGGATTCTTAGCAGTAATAAGGACTTTTATGCATACAAAGACTAAAAAAGTAAGTTACTGAATCGTGAGTCTAAGCTTAGAATCTACAAAACAGTAATTAGACGAGTGGGCACATATGGATGTGAAACGTGGGCCCTCTCAACCACTCATGAAAATCAACTGAGAATATTTGAGTGCAAAATAATAAGGAAGATATTTGGACCAACCTAATGCAGCGATGGTTCGTGGATAATTAACATCAACCACGAGCTGGATGAACTAATGCAGATCGCAGATATTGTTAGATTTGTAAAGTCACAAAGACTACTAAACTGGCTTGGTCACCTAGAAAGAATGCCAGATAATCGAGCTGTAAAAGTAATCCAAAGATGGAAGCCACAAGGAAACAGAACAAGAGGAAGCCCCGTAAAAGATGGATAGACGACATAAAGAGAGAGAGAGAGAGAGAAAGAGAGAGAGAGAGAGAGAGAGAGAGAGATCTGGCAGTGGCGAAGGAGAGTATCTGACAGGGCAGAATGGAAGAACCTTATTCCAAGCCATTGTTCCTTGAACAGGCCAAGACTCACAAAGGGTTGTAGCGTCATTAGAAGAAGAAGAAAGAGAAGAATGGGAAGCAAATAAACATAAACACAATTACAAATAAGGATTATATATAATGTAAAACAACTATAAATTTATAACATTTAAAGGGTTTTGACCCATATATTTTGGTGGCTCATATCAGGTATACCCCGTTTACACTGATGATGGAATTAATATTCCGAAAACGTTCTGTAATATAATTGTGATAGCCCGTTGGGGCATTTTATTATATACCTTTTATAAAGGATTTGAAATAAAAATTTTTGTGATATATGGTATACAGCCAGCTTCAGGAACTTAGTTTCCTAGTGGATTTTCGAAGAAGGAATCAAAACGTCAAAATAAACTTATTTTAATGTAAAATTGTCACTTATTCCCAATAAAAATAGTAAACTGTATAAAACAAAATGCTCTTCGAGACAATATAAAGTGAATTTACAGATATTGAGTTTTTACTTCTCTTCACTTCTTCACTTACTTGTTTGAGGATAATTGTATTTTCTCCAAGATGTCCTTTGTGCAATAACGGACAAAAATATGGTTCCACAAAACACAATCCATTTTAGCCACATTTTATTTTACTATATTGTTATATATTTTTGAAACCAACTTTGATTTTCTTCTGATAAATTTGTACAAATACAAAAATTCAATAATTTGGGACATTAAACTCCAATTATTTAACGACATTGAACCTGTCATTAGATAAAATACCAGCGATGGTGTAGAAAGGAAAAACATTTAATTGCTTTTCACTTTAATGAAAAAGATCAGTGACGTACGTGTTTGCTTTAAAGCCGCAATAGTTCTCCTGAAAAACTAGTTTTTGTGATTTTAATTTTGCATTACGATAATTGGTCGTAACCTCTTATTGTTCAAATAAGTGAATGTGTAAATCCAAGAACGATACACAAACATGATTTTTCTGATATCAAAAAGAAGCTGTTAAAATATTTTGTTAAGGGCTTAAAAGTTTGGCATCGTACTGCTTTACAAGTTGATCTACTAGTATGGAAAATAAAATTAACTTCATCCAGTGGACAGGTGAATGGTCAATTAACTTCATCGAGGACAGGTTTTTCTTTTTCAAGCAGTCTTAGAGTAAAGATCTGATCTATGGTCGATCTATGTTTTCTGAAGTCGGCTTAGTATTCCCCCATGAAATTTTCTACAAACGATCTCAGCCTACTTAATACGATGTTCGATAAGATTTTATATGCCGTATTAAGTAAAAAGACGCCTCTATAGTTAGAGCACTTGGTTTTGTCTCCCTTTTTATGGATGGGGATTATTACACTTTCGTGCCATTTTGTTGGTATTTCCTCTTCATTTCATATAAGTGTTATTAGTTTGTGTATTTATCTATGTAGAGTTTCTCTTCCGTACTTAAGGAATTCAGCCAATATATTGTCAGAGCCTGGAGCTTTTCCGTTCTTCAATTTGTCAATTGCTTGCAATGTTTCATCTATTTTGTGGTCCTCTACGTTAGGTCCACACCAAAATATATATTTTCTGCATCTTCTTCCTCTTGATGTATAAAATATTCCAATATACGATAATAAAAAATGAACCACTGCAAAGGAACGAAAAAAAAAACACAAATACTTTTTTTAATTTTATTATAAACGTTTAATAAAAAAAGTTTACATAAATACAAGTGTGTCGTTACTGTTTGATCGATTTTTTGTTTAACTAGAGTAACGTATGAAGCAAGTGAAATTTTAAGGCACATTTTAAAACTGTAACATAATTTTGCCATTGTTTAATGCTACAGATTTCAGTTCATTTTATTTTGAAGGAAACCCTACATACCTAATTATGTTTGTTCTTTCTATACATTCTCTATAACTTTATAGCTCTATAGCTTTATAGCACTGGTTTTATTAAGTATAAAGTTAAATTTAAGAAGAAGTAATTTGAACGTAATCAACTTCTAATTTACTGCTATCTGACCATGTTCGCTGCCAATTATTTCGAGCAGAATTAAATACTTTAAAGCTGTTCCTCTCTCCATTTCGCCAAGGCTTTGACGGACTATCTTTAAATACAAATCCTCCCACACCAACTCCTAGCGTTAGGTACATCTAAAAAATATAACAAACATTTTAGACCTAACAAAAAATAAATTTTAGGTTTTATGGTGGAGAGTGAAAGTAGGTGAGATGAAAAAAGTTTTTATTTATTTCCGGCTAAATTTGACATCCTCTCAAAATATTTTAAAAGGAAAAGTTGTAGATACATAATATAAAAACCCATTACTTTTATTATTTATACCATTTTTATTTCATTCTCAAAATTACCAACAGAAATTAAAAAAAAATGTTTTCGTTTTTTATTGTTTATGTCTCTAAAGTTGATCAATTTTGTTGATCAATGTTTTAACATGGTTCTTAATTATACAAATTTTTCTTAGAAAAAAATCCCCAAAAGTTTCCGTGATATTAGATTCAAATTATAAGACAATTACAAAAACTAATTACACTACTCGATTTTGCGGTTATTGGATTAAAAAAACAATTTTTTAACACGATTTTAAAGAAGTTAAAAATGTTAACTATGTAATTTTAATAGATAATGTTAAATTAAGATAGTTTTAATTTTGATTTATTTTTACTTGCCTACGTTTCAATAACTTTATTTTATTAATTTTAGCAGTTTCATTTGATAAATTTTACTCTATGTATGTACAATGTACAGTTTTCAAGATAGGTACCCATAAAATATTTGTACATACTCTCCCTTTCTCTCATGCATCTTGCTTCTTACAAAGGATTCTAAGATTGATGATTGATGATTGAAATTCATTTTATGTAACAATACAACATTGAAAACTTTGTTTTTAAACTTCCACAAAATTTATTTTAAAACTTATCACTACAGCTGTTTCGGCTGATAGCCGTTCTCAAGCCAAAAATAGATCACTTGAGAAAGGCAATCAGCCGAAACAGCTGTAGTGATAAGATTTAAAATAAATTTTGTGGAAGTTTGAAAACAAAGTTTTCAGGATTCTAAGATTATATTAATGATGTAGAAGTTACAAATTCTTTAGTTCTTCTTCTTGTAGTGCCTATCCGTTTCAGATGTTGGCGACCATCATGGCAATCTGCACTTTGCACACTGCTGCTCTAAAAAGATTTGTGGTTGTTGTGTTGAACCACGTTCGTAGATTTTTCAGCCAGAAAATCCTTCGCCTTCCTGGTTCCCATTTTCCTTCTACTTTTCCCTGCAACATTAGTTGCAGCAGTCCATATCTTTCGCTCCTTCTCATGATGTGGCCGAGGTATTCGATTTTGGCTCTTTTTGTTGTGGTTAACAGCTTTTTTCTATTTTCATTCTCAACAGAACACCCTCATTAGTAACGTGGTCGGTATACGATATCTTCAGGATGCGACGATAAAGCCCTATTTCAAAAGCCTCAATTTTCTTGCAGGTGGCATCTGTGAGAGTCCATGACTCAACTCCGTACAACAGTATAGGAAAGATGTAACATCTTAATAACCTGATTTTTATGGGCATTGATAAATCATGACATTTGAATATCTTAGCCATTTTTTGAAATGCAGATCTTGCTTTCTCTATTCTACATTTGATTTCTATGGAATGGTCCCAATTTTCATTGACGTTTGTACCAAGGTAGGTGTATGTTTTTACTCTTTCTATTTGTTGACCGTTTACACTGATTTGCCTAATTGCTGTTCCTTCTTAGAGGTCATCATGCATTTTGTTTTCTTAGTGTTTAGTGAAAGTCCGTATCTCAGACTGACCTCTGTGATTCTGTTCATTAACTCCTGGAGGGTTTCAGAGCTGTCAGCGAATACTACCGTGTCGTCCGCGTATCTAATGTTATTGATAGATTCTCCGTTGATTCGAATCCATGCTTCAACATCACCCACTGCTTCTTGAAAGATTTCCTCAGAGTATATGTTAAACAGCAGTGGTGATAGGATATATCCCTGGCGAACGCCACGTTTGATTTTGATATCGTCGGATTCTCCTGCCTCTGTCCGGATAGATGATGTTTGATTCCAGTACAGATTGCTGACAATTCTTAAATCATAGGTGTTTATTCGAATATTGGTTAATATCTCCATCAGATTGTCGTGCTTTACTGTATCGAATGCTTTATGGTAGTCAATGAAGCACGCATAAATGTCGCAGTTCACGTCTCTACATCGTTGAAATAGCACTTGTATACTAAAGAGAGCCTCTCTCGTACCCACTGCATTCCGAAAACCAAACTGTGTACGGCTGATTTTTTCTTCGCACAGTTAATTATATCCTTTGATGTATGATTTTTAGAAATAATTTTAAAATATGACTCATTAAGGTGATAGTTCGGAAATCACTGCAGGATACGGACTTTGTTTTCTTTGGTAAAGTAATAAAGGTCGACTTCAGCCATGTTCTTGGTATTACTCCGCTTAAATACATGTCATTAAATACTTTTGTTAGGTGTTGAATACCGTCGGTGTTAAATAGTTTTATGAGCTCAGCATATGCATTGTCAGGTCCAGGAGCTTTTCCATCTTTTAGTTGTAATATGGCTTTTTGCACTTCATCTGATGTAATTGGTAAGTGGTCATCACATATGTAGGATGGAGGTTGTTTGGATCTGGTATCATTAAAGAGTTGTTGTATGTATTTTGTCCATATGCGGATTTCTTGATTTTTGTCTGCGATGATATTCCCCTGTTGGTCTCGCAGTTTGTTAGCTGTGTTGGATTTCTGAAGACCAGCTGCTTGTTTTACCTTTTTATGTGTGTTAAACGTAACATGCTTTGTTCTAACAGTTCTCTATCTCTTCACACTGTGATTTTAACCAATTTTCTTTCGCCTTTCATATTTCGGTTCTTATTTGTCTCTGAATCTTGTTGTACATTATTTTGTTGTTCTTTGATTTTCTTCTTTTTTCCATAAGTTGCAGTATATTGTCATCCATCCAACTTTTTTTCTTATCTTTCTTTTCTATTAGATGTTCTTCTTTGATCTTGTTAAAGGTTTCACATATATTTTGCAGTGATTCTTCGGCATTATATGTTTGCTCCATATTACTTAGCTTTTCTGAAAGAATCTGTGCGACTGTTTCTTTTGTTTTGTTATCTTTTAGTCTTCTCATATCGCACTTTTTGTTACTATTCTGTTTTGTGACCTTCTTGAATCTAAACCTAAATTTACCAACAACCCTTCACATATGAATTAAAATAACGAAGAATGTTTTCTATGTTTCTCAGTTCCTAGCTTACAAATTAAAATACGCAAAAAGTATTTTTAATTGCTTCTTAGTTCGGCTGAAGTTAATATAAACCATTTTAGAGTTGTTTATTTATTTTGCAGCTGCGTATTTTCCTCCATATTTCTTTGGTCGTCAAACCGCCCCATTCCGTGTTTTAATTTAGTTGATATAATGTTGAATGCTCGAATAAATGAACTTTGAAAAATTAAAGGCAAATATCGAGCACAATTTTAATAATCAAATCTTGTCCAAGTACTTTCGCTTTCTACAGCATCATCAGGGGCATTTCATCAAATTTGGACTATCCAGCAAGCGCAAAATGTGATAAACATGAAATTGGACATAAATTCTACATAACACTACCCTAAAACAAGGACAAACAGTTTAAAATTATTTAAAAATTATTCTACGCTCTACATTCTTGTCGGCAACAGGAGAGAGAATGGTATTCAACGGAAATGCTAAGGTGACATGTGACATATGACACCTGTCACCTTATTGCTGGTTTATGTCTAGAATACATGCATGAGTTCTTGTAGTGTTCCGTTATCCGAGTGTGTATTGCTTCTTTCATTGTTTTAGTGTATTTCAAAGTATTTCGTCACTGTCTTTCAATGATTTAATGGACAATTTAAATTCTTATTGAATTCTCAGGCGGTATTTTAAAAACAAATAAATAATGAGTCTTACTTCTTGGTCGAAAGGTGCCATTAGGGTTCCTTCTTTCCATTTATCAGTATTTAGGTTTAATGTTGGTCCTAGTGATGCAAAACCTTTGGCTGGAGGATATATGTTTCCATAAACTGTACCATCTACACTGAAACTTATTTCATCTAAAAAAAGTAAAAACAATTTATACTTTTAATTAAGCAATGCAAGATATTATTCTTTATAAGATAAGTTGTATTTTAAGTATAATTCCTAACACTCGTTCAAACTCCCAACGATCACTCTTCACATGATAATGTTGCTAATTCTAAACCAAAATATATCTCCGGCGGACAGGACAATTTTACACCTTAAATAAAATCTCCCATGGTTTCCAAATGAAATCAACCATGATTCTATTTACAACAAAAGTTGGGATAGAAAAGAAAATAGTTCAAAGTCATTTAATATAAAGAATTAAAGTAAAATTGTTATGTACACACTTCACAATAACACTAAAAGAACTCTCTATGTTTAATGAAATTAACCACAATTTTAATTAACAATACGTCTACTAGCTCAAGATAGTGAGAGGACGGCAGTTATGGATGCGCAGTGGCAAAACTCGAAGAAGTGGGAGACAGAATAGAATAGTCAATAACATCTAGGCAGATGTGTTGTGGTTCATCATTGAGCTGTAAGAACTCGAATAGTCTGGTCAATAATCATTCCTTTAATAGAGAAATTGTTAATAGGTTTTAAAAAATTGAAGGAAAGTGTTATTTCAGTAGCAGGTATTTATGTAGGTTCCAGTGAATTATATTTACTATTTTAACCGAAACACGTTTTCTCAACGAAGATTTAACTCTCAATTATAAAAAAAATTGCTGGTAAAGGTGGTCAAGTTGATGCTGGAGAAAACGCTTTTCTCCTCTGCCAAAACATACGAGGACAACAAAAATGAAAATGGATGCATTTGATGAAAGTTTGTACATAAATAGAGACAATAACACAAACAGTGAATATTTCTTACATAAGTTAAAAAAAATGTACTAAACAATTTAATTATTTTGAAATGATTAAAACGCCAAGAAAATAAATTTGTAAAAAAATAAAAAAAATGGAAAGTTCACTGATAAAACCTATGTGGACTCTAGTTACACTAAAGAACATAATTGTGTGTTACAAGCGCAGATCTTCGAAAACACGTTTCTAATGGACAAAGGAATATAATTGTTAGTACTGGCAATGGGAATGGTTTTTATTAGAGAATTACTGAAAATAACGGTAGGCAGGACAAATGGTCCGGATGCATAAAGTAGGAATCCTCAGTAAATTGCTAAAAGCAAGAATGCAAGACAAAAGAGCTGTTAAGAGGTCAAAAAAGAGATGGAAGGACGAAGTAGAAAAACATGTCAAAAAATTCCTAAAAATTCGTTCGTAAAGATCTTTGGAGAACCCATGAAGCCATGATTCATTATATGTTTTAGATGCCATTTAACTTTCTCTTTGACTTAAATTTAATATTTTCTGTCGTTATGTAGAAGGATATCCTCGGCAAAATTGACAACAATTAAATCTTATTAGTCAACATGGATTGATTTGTTATAATTTTCTTAGATTTAAAGAGTTTTAAATCTAATCTATTAATTTTAAAAACTCTTTAGAGTTTTTTTTTAATATAAATAGACTATAATAAAATAATATTCCTTACTTGGTTTCCAGTCTACACTAAATGTATGAAAGTCATCTGACCACGATGACATCTTACTTTCTATGGTTTTATCGAAGTAGTTTGTAGCTGCAACGCTACGACCAATAGTGAGTCCACCGTGAAGAACACGATTTAAGTCACTGTTCCCAGGCGCAAATGCTATTCTTATTTGACCTGATTGACTTTTTAACCCATACTTCTCATTAACCGGAGTCAAGTGAATTTCTGAAACAAAAATGTAGAATTTAATAAAGGTATCAGCAACAAAAAAATCTTTTTTTTTTTTAGTACAATATTATTATTACATATTTATGAGGCAAAGATTTGAAAATCTTAGAATTAGCTTAGATATAAGAAAATCGGTAAATAGAATACTTGCACTCAAAGAAAAAGGAAAATTTCTACCGAAAGAAAAATAGAGATTCGGAAATATTGTTATTTTTATGTCCATCTAAACTTCACAGAAAGACAAATTTACTTATGCTATGTTTGTAAAAAGCCTATATGTTAATCACGTAGGTACAATCCGACAAGCGAGAGCTGGCGGTTTGCGCGTAGAACAAATTGAAAAGTGGAAGGGATTGCTCATTTCTATTGCTGTCGGCGAGGAGTTCACATCGTACTGATAAGGGCTAGATTTCTGACAGTGTTGTCAAATGTTTACATTTTTATTTGGAGTGGCCCTATATTATAAAATATTATTTATATTTATTAAAATGGTAAGTGTATTAAAGGCCAAACCTTTGGGATCTTAAGCACGAGAAATAATTTTCAATGTTTTTAAGTTTACAACTGAAAAAGCTAATGCAGATAAAGTTTAAGTTGATTTAAAAAGATACAAGAACGTGTAGCTCACTTAACCGGTAATTATAATACTCATTTTCAAAATAAATTCAGATTTAAACAATTTAACTTAAGTTACAATCAATAAATAAGTAAAAAATTACAGTGCATTAGATTACCAGTAAATAATATACCAGTAATAACAATTGATCAGTTCATTAGTAATTTACAGTTCACTATTATTAATAATATAATTGTTATTTTAAGTGAAATTAAAAAAATTATTCAAATAATAAATTTTTTATTGTTCTGAAGCTATTTTTTTGTGGCATTGTAAATTAATTGGTGGAGGTATGTAGATGATGTATTCTCATCTACATACCTCAATTTCAAATCAAATCACAATATTAATGTAAAAAAGGGAATAATTAAATCCTTATACGATAGAGCCAAAATTACTTGTTCTAACGAAAATTCGTTCTTGGAGGAGAAACATTTGTTAACATCTGTTTTAATAAAAAATGATTATCCTTTATCGTTTATAAATAAGGAATTTTCAACAAAAGATTGAATAGAACATAACAACTTAGAACGAGATCCTACAGCATACACAAGGAATAATATGAGAAAGGATACTACTTAAGTACTTAAAGGATACTACTTAAAAGGATAGAAAATAAATTCAACATTTCAACAACATTCAAAACAACAAACACGTTGAGATCTATTTTGTCCAAAACCCAACTTAACAATGAACAAGAAAGGACAAAGAATTGCATTTATAAAATACCTTGTGAATGCGATCAGTTTTATTTAGGTGAATCATCAAGGCCATTCAATGTTAGAATAAGTGAACATCAATCTTATATTAAAAATAGAGAATTTGATAGATCTCAAATATGTAAACACGCATGGGATAATGAACATAGGGTTCAATGGAATAATTCAAATGCAGTCCTAAAAGAAACGGATGGTAAAAAAAGAAAAATCAAAGAAGCGGCTCAATTATGCTAAATGAGGCCAATTGTGTCGCAAATTCCTCGGCAGAATGTAGTAGGATCTGGTTACCAATATTGAAAGAGGAAGTTATTATTAAGAAAATACCAGTATTAGTAAGTCAGTAACATATAGAGGATACATTTATGTTGACATACAACAAATACTTACAATGTCGGGATAGTATTATGAGGTTTTTTTTCCTGGTTTTTCCCTTATAATTTACTATGGAATCACTAACAGGAGAATTTTACTGTCATCATGTCATGTTTTTGTCTTTTTAAAGACGAATTACATGCTATGATTTTTTTCTGACGGATATTCTCAAGTTAAAGTTGATTTCATGTAATCGAATGAACTATCTTATAAGTAAAGTCGTCCCAGGAGCGCAATTCAACAATATTGGCAATATCATTTTAAAGTCGTCTACTTTAAAATGCATAATGTATGTCTGAATTGTCAATATAAATGAGTCCGATAAAATTAAATTATTAGAAGAATTTTTCTCTATGTAACAAAAAACAGAATTTGTTTAATTTACTGTTTGTATTTTGAGAACGATTTCCGAAGTGGAAATTGAAACGTCAATAAACGTATTTTTATCTTTAATTGTGGCTTATTCCCAGTTAAATAGTAATTAATAAATTTTTTGTGATACATGGTATACAGCCAACTACAGGAACTTAAGTTTCCTTGTGGATTAAGTGAAATTGTTATATTTATTGAAGAATAATGGTATAGGTAATGTGTCTTTTATTTATATAACTTTGCACCTAAGTCAGTTAACATTTGTTTTTATAGTGTCCTTATTAATAATAAGGAGAAATTTCAGTATTATTGTAAAATAAAGGTATTTGATTAACTTTTTTTATATAATACTTATATTCGCTCCGTGCGTGACCATGGTAGGGGCACACTGAAACGATGCCAGCGTGCGTAGCGGCGAAATATGATAAAATTGGAATATTGCATTGGACAAAATATTTTTACGCATAAGTTTTATCAAAAATGTGTGCAAATACATGTTGCGTATTTAATTCTGCTAATAATAGCAAAAACAGTAAGTGTAGTTTTTATAGGTTCTAAAAGATTACATATAAATTAGAGAAAAGAAAAAGATGAATTCGTGCTATTAATATGAAAAAGTAAATATCACATAATTTCATTTTTATGCAATTGAAATAGAAACAATTTAAATAATTTACCTTGAATGATATTTCATAAGGCTTCAAGCTAACTGCAGATGACTTTAGCTTTTACATCATAACTTTTACTAATATTGTTTTTAATTATATGCCCTTTTGCGTGAAAAACTTGATTTGCCAGTACTAGATTTTTCGCTTTCTTTTCCGTTTGGAGTTGAAAAGATATATTATGATGAATTTTGAGAAACTCAGTTTTTAATAGTAGGTACATTTATTTTGTACATAAACTGAAAAAATATAGTTAAAAAACTAATTTATTAATAATTGTCAATTTCGCATGTATTTAACAGTGTCAAACATATGTCATATATTTAACCTGAAAATTGGGACTCCAAAATTGTCAGATGAAGGCGGTAGGTGTCGCATCAGTCACGCACGGAGCGAATACCTATGAGCAAATAAAGTTTATTTAGTCGTAACTTATTTCAGTAAATTTTTTTCAAATACCTAAATCTTTTTTTTATTTTTTTTACTCCTTTTTTAAAAGGAGTCCGTCTAACTCCACATCACCCTTGATGCAACTGAAATTGTACCTTACCGGTTACGGGTTAATTATTAATAATTTATTAATATGTTTATGCATACATACCTGGATAAATCCAGTCTCCTTTAGGAAGCTTAGCACGCACATCGACTTTTCCATATTTAAATGTAACTTTGTTTTTCGTTGTTAATTGTGCTGACGCGATAGGTGGTAAAATAAACCCTGCATCATATTTTCTTTTACAGTCTGTGGTACCTATAGGAGCGGTGCAGCTAAACAAAAAATAAAGATTCTTATGAAAAAAGGTTTTTTTTATAAATGATGAATCTGTTTTTAACTACAATTATGCTATCTTAATTTTTCTATGTGGGTGCTAAAGCATAAAATTGAAAATATTGAAGTATTTTTATTATTTCGCTTTTTAAATTTAATCGTCAAGATAATGATGGTCGAACTATACAAACAATAATATATTGTAACAAACCCTCTACGATTGTGACGCCTATGGAGTGCTACGATTAAAGGTCGATTCAGACACATCAGTCCCGTCACAGTCTCGGCGCCGAACCGGTCCTGTTTGGTCACAGAACTATTAATTATCTGACAGCTGGGAAACTGTTCGTCGCCTGATGAATGTGAATGCCGGCGTCATATTTCTATTAAAGAATATTTTGTATGACGGATTGTTCGGTTCGGCGCCAGGACTGTGACGAGACGTGACTGATGTGTCTGAATCGACCTTAATATTGGTCAAACCGGCAAAATACGTGCCGCTACCTTGCAGAAAGTAAACTATGTTTAAAGTTTAAATATATTTCAATAAATAGACATCTTTATATCCGCCCTTATAATTCTTGTAAAACCCCAAAATCCATGAGAATAACTAAGTTCATGCTATAATTTTTATGTTTCTTTTATTATATTATTTGAAACTATGTATTTATATATAAAGTATATTTAAATATACTTTATACTAATATTTCTTAGAAATTATCCTATATTTATTACAATCGATTTAATTTTCAGCATACAATGTGTAACATACGCGTAGGATTCTACTCACCTGTTTCCAAAATCGAATGCCGATGTTAAAAATCCATCACCAAAGATATCTTCGGATGGAGCTGGCCTTATTTGTAAGTTATTGTCTTTTATTCGAAAAAGTTCTGGATTGTTGACATATAATACAAACTCGTAATCCTAGAATTTAAAAAAATTTACCTATAGGAGCATACTGGGTGTGTCACGACGAGCTTAAGCTATCTACAGATTGAACGAATTTAAAACGGATCATACAATTTAATATATGTCTGTTTGAACTGCATTTAAAATAGTGGACCAATATAAAACTTGGACAAAAATAAATCCATACCTCGGTATAGACATTGTATAAAATATCGTTCAACTATCTGTCTCGCAACAATGTTGTTTGCGTAAAGGAAGCGATAATAGTTCAGGAAATGAAGCTCGAAAAAAGTTTAAACTTTAAATTTAAGTTTAAATTTTTTCGTTCTGCATGGATTGAGTTAAAATTTTAACAGAAGGTAGGTGATAGTCCAAGGATCAAAATCTATATCAAACCAAAGTGTGCTGAAGGGTTTTAGGGGTAAAAACTACCCCTAAGTTTCAAAAATTATAAAATAACACATTAAACCTAAATATGGGTAAGATTTGGTTTGAATTAGTTAAATAATAATTATTTTATACTTTTGAAGAGTTCCATCATATTTCAACCCTTAAAAAGCAACCCTTGTTAGAGATTAATGTAAAAAAATTACTAATTCTAAAAAATGATTTCGCCTTGGATCGATTTGGATAAAAATTTGGATTTGGGCTCAATTCACCCACTGCTTTATAGTTTATGTCATGTCGACAAACCCTGATTTTTTTTATTTGTGAAAACTACCAGTAATTGTCAAAAATTATAAAATAACATATTAAACCTAAATATGGGTAAAATTTGGTTTGAATTAATTAAATAATGATAGTTTCGTGCTTTTGAATAAAGTTCCATCATATTTCAACCCTTAAAAAGCGATCCTTGTTAGAAATTAATGTACAAAAAAGTAGTAATGCGAAGAAAATGATTTCGCCTTGGAACGATTTGCATAAAAATTTGGAATTAAGCTCAACTCACTCATAATTGAGCTCATTTTCAAAAATTGTAAAATAACATTACAAATCTTAAGATGAGTGAAATTTGGTTTGAATTAGTTAAATAGTGATTTTTGTATACTTTAAAATACAATTTTATACATTTTCAACCCTTAAAAATCAATTGTTATGAGTTCTATAGGTGAAAACAAAAATTTTGCAATTTTTCAACTTTTGGAAATCACCCTTTACAACATTTCAGTTTTTATAAACTAATTTAATAGATATAAATTGAAAAAAGTAGAATTAAATACAAAAAAATTTATCAACATAAAAAAGCACCATATGTTCTTATACATTTACATAAATAGTTGAAAATATTTACATTTATAGGTAAAACAATTATAATATTAATTTTATTGGTCATCAATTACATATTCATCGTGATCTATGCATCGAGCAAAAAGATAAAAGAGGGAATCTAATCGTTATGAAAAGGAGACCAAAAAAGTGTCCTCTGATGGCGGACATATCCGGAAATGCAAAGGCGCTAAATTTAAATTTTCTAACACTTATTAACAATAGCTATAAAATATTTTTCAGACGAGAAAGTTGTAATTAAATATTAACTATAATAGTCTAAAAAGTGACACAATTGGTAAAAGATTTCAATATAAATAAAATTTCATGTGACAGTTGGGACAAACAATAACATAACCTAACTAAATTTGACTTCTTAAACAAGGAAAGAGACTGTCTATCCTTGTCTAAAGTGGCCTCTCAAGATGGCACTTCCTGTCTATCAATATGTTTACCCCCACTACCTTTACATTCCCTCTTTTGTCTTATTGCTCGATGGATCTATGTCATCCTCATCTTCAATTATTAGTGGACTATTATTGCACCCTTCATCTGAGCACCCAGAACAAGTAGAGTTACAGTATAAACTAACTTTTCTGCACCCACATGAAACGCCGCATTCTTGAGTACAACAAAGGCTAATGTTTGCGTAAACAATTATGAACTGTAAAATTATTAATATCTATCTAGAATACTTTTTATTCTTCTAAAGTATTCTTCTAGTAAATTGCATTCCCAAATAATAAAGATAGAACAACTAAATCTAAAACTGGCAAGTTGTAAATGAACATTGTAAATTTACATTTTCATAAATATTTAACCAAATATGGTTTTAATTGCCAGTTCCAATTTTGTTAGATTAAGATGATTTTCACATCATATCCCATAAAATTAAAACTAAATTCTAAGTGAACATTTTTAAAATATTTCATTGGTTTTTAAAAATCAAATCAAATATTTCTAATATACAACATCAACTGAACTAACTATAAGTAAATAAATGAAATATTCTAAATTTAACAGAGCTTTGTAATAGTCTTGGTCATTTTGTGGAATGGACGGCATCATTTTCCTTATGAAACTGAAATTTTGAAATTTCTTTTTTTGTGGAAAGAATTTTAGATACATGATTAGGTGGAACACTTTAGTAAATTCATCTTCAGTGTGACTTTTTTTAAAACATACCTTGGCAATGTCATGTCTTCAAAATCTTAGAGAACATACTTTCGGAAATGGAATAATTTCAAATTTTAGTTGTTTTGAACACTGTTCATAATCCCTTAAATCTGATAAATAATAGATTTGCAAACTCCATTAATTAGAATTTGTAGAGGTGTCAAACAAGGGACACAATCTCACCCAAACTATTTACTCTGGCGTTTGAAAAACATTTTTAAATCTATAGACTGGGATAATAAAGGAATTTGTATAAACGGGAAATATTTAAATCATCCAAGATTCGCCGATGATGTACTCCTGATAGCAATAACTATGGAACAACTACGAATAATGATTTCAGACCTAGAAAAAACATCTCTTGAGAAAGGACTAAAAATAAATCTAAAGAAAACTAAAATAATGACTAATACAGAAGACAGATCAGTGATTACCATAGGTGGAACAAACATAGAACACGTCCAAGAATATATTTTCTTAGTAAGTACAAGCTATCAGAGCAGACAAAAGTGACCAGACTAAAGAAATAACCAGAAGAATAAGAATGGGGTGGGCTGCATTTGAAAAACTCTTATATACTATCAAAAAGCAAAAAGTACCTTTAAAATTAAGATCGAAAGTATTTAATGCATGCGTCCTACCTGTTTTGACATATGGTGCCCAGATGTGGACGTGTACCAAGAGCAACTTAGATAGAATAAAGAAAACTCAAAGAGCTATGGAAAGACAAATGTTGGGAATATCGTTGAGGGATAAAAAGAGGAACAAGTGGATAAGATGCAAAACCGAAACAACAGACGCTGTCGAACATGCATTGAAATTAAAATGGAAATGGGCTGGGCATAACGAAAGATATCAGGATGGAGGATGGAATAAAAAAATTGGCCGCTGGAGACCATGTACTGCAAAAAGGTCAAGAGGTCGACCGCAAATGAGACCGCATGAATAGATTTTGGGCTATAGATATATAGAATTAAGATATAAATCATACATTTTTGTAATTTTTAATGTTACTTCCTAATAATTACTAATAAATACTAATATTTTATCTGGCTATTGTCTCTACCTACAGTAATGAGATTTAACTACATTAAATTTCTTGTCAAATTTCAATCAAAAAATATTCTTTATAGAAATAACTTACTGGTGCATCTGCATATCGCTGTTCCACTGTCCAAAAATCGGTTTTAAAGCCGGTTGAAAAGTCATCAAATAATATGACTCTATTATTATTTATGGGCTTTGTTGTTGGCTTTTCTCTAATTACAGGCGCATCGGGATTGCGGGAAAATTCTGAAAGAAAAGATAAGAAATATAAACCTTACTAAACACTTTAATCAGTAAATATGTAGCATTATAAACTTGATGTAAAAACTTAGTTCGACCAGTTTGTAATGATCATTTTTTCGTTCGATTAAAGTGAGCAGTTCTACGAAGCAGAATAAACCTAGCATGGGCAGCCTATGGAAAACTCAAAGACATCTTTAAAAGCGATATACCAATTTCTTTAAAACGTAAAACATTTGACCAATGTGTGCTGCCTGTGATGACCTATGGTGCCGAAACTTTGACATTGACAGCTACAAGTTCTAAAACGCTGCAAATAGCTCAGAGGAAAATGGAAAGATCAATGCTGAGTATATCGCTTCGTGACCGAGTTAGAAATGAAGACTTAAGACGAAGAACAGGAATTACCGATGTAATTTCCCGAATTGTCACACTAAAATGGAACTGGGCCGGACACGTCGCCCGACTCAGTGATGAAAGGTGGACGAAGAGATTCCTTCAGTGGAGGCCGAGATTAGACAAAAGAAGTAGAGGAAGACCCCCTACACGATGGACTGACGATCTCAAGAACATGTCAAGAAATTGGATGAAAAGTGCTCAAGACAGAGCACAATGGGCAAAAATGAGGGAGGCCTATGTCCAGCAGTGGACGCAAAGGGCTGGGTGATGATAATGATGATGAAAGTGTGCAGTTAAAAATTTAGTTATATTTTCAATTTATTTTGTCTAATTAAGTATTCCATATTCATATAATAAGCTGACGGAGACTTCAGTGTAGATTTTTATTTATTTAAAGGCAGCCGCATCAACCATATTGATTATTAGCAGATGGATTTAATGTAAACAATAATGATTACAAATAACAAATAAATAACATACTTATATGTGGTTCAAAAAGCTTAAAAATAATAAATCACCAGGAGTTGATCAAATTTGCAGTGAGCTCTACAAGAATGGTGGCGATGCCCTACTACAGACACTGCATAAGCTTTTACTTCTTGTTTGGCATAATGAGACCATGCCTTGTGAATAGTCTCAAGGCGTGATTTGCCCGTTCCATAAAAAAAGGTGACCAGCTCCAGTGTGACAACTATAGAGGTATAACCCTGTTAACAACTGCTTACAAAATACTAGCAAATATTCTCTACGAAAGGTTGCAAGTTTACACAGTGGGCATAGTTGGTAAATATCAAGTTGGATTCACTCCAGAAAAATCAACGATTGACCAGATTCATTCAATAAGACAGATTCTCGAGAAAACATTAGAATTCAATATTGATACCCATCACCAATTCGTCGACTTCAAGGCCGCATACGACAGTGTCAAGAGAACAGTGCTATATCAATCAATGCATGAGTTTGGTATACCAGAGAAACTGATCCAACTAACGAGAATGACAATGTCTAACTTAGAAGCCACTGTTAGAATACAGGGAGAGAGTTTTAGATCCTTTGAGATAAAGGATGGACTCAGACAAGGAGATGCTCTGTCTTGCCTCCTATTTAATATTGCCTTAGAAAAGGCAGTCCGAGATACACGAATTAGGGATGGCGGTACTATTTACAATAGATCGATACAAGTCTTAGCATATGCTGATGACATTGACATAGTAGGGCGTAGAAAGCGAGATGTTGAGCAATATCTCCTAGAATTGGAAACAGCGGCGAAACAGGTCGGTCTAGTCATCAACGAAGACAAAACCAAGTACATGTTGGTTACAAAGGATCCGATAGCAAATGAGGAACGAGAAACAGTCTTTGGAAGTCATACCTTTGGACGTGTTGACAACTTCACATACCTTGGGTCGCTATTGACTGCTACCAATAAAACAAGCGAAGAAATCAAAAGACGAATAAATCTTACAAATAGGGCATACTATAAACTCCAAAAGCATTTCCACTCAAGAAACATTCCAAGAAGAACTAAAATTATTATATACAAAACATTGCTGAGGCCGGTCCTCACATATGGAGCAGAAACATGGACACTAACGCAGAAAGATGAAAGACTTTTGGGAATATTTGAGCGTAAAATACTCCGCAAAATATTTGGAGCTGTAAACGACCAAGGGCAGTGGCGCAAAGATATAATTTTGAATTGTATCAGCTCTTTGATGAGCCAGATGTCATAACGTTCATTAAAACACAGCGACTTAGATGGGCTGGACACATAATACGAATGCCAGAAAATACCATTGCTAAAAAGCTAACCACAGGAACACCTGTAGCAAAAAGAAGTAATGTCCGACCGCGAATTAGGTGGTTAGATGGAGTAGAAACCGACTTACGAATATTAAAAATCAGAAGATGGCAACATGTTGCCAAAAACCGAACAGAATGGCGACGAATCTTAGAGCAGGCCAAGATCCACAGAGGATTGTCGGGCCAGAGATGATGATGATGATATGTGGTTCAATATGTTACAGTCTTTTAAGAATTTCACAATATTTTCACTGGTACACTCACTAAAAATATCTCTTATAACTGATGGAATTTTATTAGTTAGTCTTTCAGCACTATATTTGGGACACTCCGTTAATACGTGTTTCACTGTTAACGGCACGTCACAACTTGTACATTTTGGTTCAGGATCATTCTTCATGAGATAGTCATGTATGAGTTTGCTGTGTCCTAATCGGAATCTGGTTAATACAACCTAAAGGAAACGGGAATTAATTTTGTTTAATACAATCTACGATACTGGAGAAATACCAGAGGAATGGTTAGAATCTATTTTTATTCCCATTCCAAAACAAGCTAACTCCAGGCGATGCGCAGATTTCAGATTAATAAGTCTTATGAGCCAAGTGCTTAAAATTCTATTAAAAATACTTCACAATAGGGTATACAAAAGGTGTGAAAAAGAAGTTGGATACGATCAATTTGGATTCAGAGCCGGAATGGGGACCAGAGAGGCTTTGTTTTCACTACAAGTACTGCTGCAGAAGTGTTACGACCAACAAAAGGATGTCTTTCTATGTTTTGTAGACTTTGAAAAGGTATTTGATCGCGTAAACCATAATAAAATGTTAAATTCCTTGCAGAGCATCAACTTGGATAGTAAAGATCTCCGATTAATTAAGAACTTATATTGGAGGCAGAGTGCCAAGATTAGGGCAAGGATGCATACTATCCCCTATGCTGTTCAATCTTTACTCGGAACTACTATTCAAGCAAGCCTTGGAAAACCTTTCTACAGGAATAAAAATTAATGGAGAACCAATATCTAGCATAAGATATGCAGATGACACTGTCCTACTGGCTGATACAGACACAAACTTACAGGGGGTTATAGACCACCTTAAGGATGCTTGTCGAGAGTTTGGAATGAAGATCAACGAAAAAAAAAACAAAAGTAATGGTGATCCAAAGAAAACAGAATATCCCCGTACCTATAAAAATAAATGGGAATATTTTAGCACAGGTAAACCAATAGAAATACCTTGGCTGTTGGATTAATTGCAAGCTGGACCCAAAACAAGAAATTAAAGCGAGAATTGCTCAAGCTAGGGATAGTTTCTTTAAGATGCGCGTTCTACTCTGCGATACACATATAAATATTAAATTGAGATTAAAACTTGTAAAATGTTTTATCTGGTCTGTTCTTCTCTACGGAGTCGAAACGTGGACTTTAACAATAAAGAGCCTGAATAAAATCGAGGCATTTGAAATGTAAGTGTACCGTAGAATTTTAAAAATTCCTTGGACAGCACGAAAAACAAATGAAGAAGTACTAGCTAGACTCAATTTAGAAAAAGAAACTATTGAGAACAGTCAAAAGAAGAAAAACCAGTTATTTAGGGCATTTGTTGCGCAACGAGAAATACTACATCCCTCAGTTGATAATAAAAGGCAAAATAGAAGGAAAGCGAGGAATTGGAAGAAAAAAATTGTCCTGGTTACGTAATATCAGAAACTGGACAGGACTTGGATTTGAGGAACTCTTAAGAGCAGCTGAAGATAGACAAACGTTTGCCACCATAACCGCTAACCTCCATTGATGGAGACGGCACTTGAAGAAGAAGAAAGGAAACGGCTAAGGACGTTGTTACTACATCGTCTAAAATTTTGTTTAATTTTTTTTAACTTTGAGGATTTTTTCTCCCAACATTTAGTCCAATTACATATCAGCTTTTGTTTAAAATACAGATTGAGATCTTCTGCTAATGATTGTATTATTGGTTTGATATTTGGGGAGATTGCTATTTCTCGAGTATTTTTATCAGCTATTTCGTTTCCTTTAATACCTATATGTGATGGTACCCCACGAAGACTAATGTTTTGTTTTCCAGCTGCTGCATGTTGTTTTTAATTAATTTAGCAATCGGGTTGCAGGTGTACATTTTTGACAGTATATGGAGGGAATTGATTGAGTCAGTAATAATAAGGAATTTACCTGATTTGACTGTTTGTATGTGATATGATGATATTTTTTAATTTAAAGTAGGCAAAGGTATTAACCAGGGAGGTGGCGTGTTTACGTTTGCTGAATGTGTTGAGGGAAAGTTAAAATTTTCAATAGAGTTTAAAATGATTTTGATCCTTAATTGAAACGGTAAATAGTAATTAATTTAAAATGCCACAAGAAAATAGCTTCAGAACAATATTAGGCAAATGTGATTTTATATTGATATGTGATAACGATGACTGTAAGAGTAAGAAAAGGGTTGTCAGGTTGTAGTAATGATTGTTTTAAAGCGTAAGATAGACTAAGTAATCAGTCCAAGTTCCGTCGTTCATGTAATGATGGCTCTCCAAGTTCCCACTCGAAGCTTGCAACAGGAGTTGTTCCATAAGCTCCAGAGATTATGCGTAATGCATTTTTGTGTAGAATGTCTAAGATTTTTAAATTTGACTTTGACGCTAATTTTGATCGGATTAGGTTTCTATACAACAGTAGTAATATATCTCCGTCAGCACCCCATTGTTTGTTAGCTAAACATTTAAGAAGATTTATACCATATTGACACGATATCGCCAATTTTTCAATATGTGGTTTCCAAATTAAAAGTTTCGTCGAATGTTAAACCTAAATATTTTATCTCTGTACTTCGTTTCAAAAACTTTGTGCCAAATTTTAAGGCAGGTATGTTAGTGTGAACAGGATTTTTGTAAAAAATAATATATTGTGTCTTGCCAGCTGAAAAAATAGATTCCACTCCTATTAGACCAACTTTCGATTTTATTTAGTTTTTCTTGTAAATGTTTGACCATCGAGTTAATATTTTTTCTTTTGATGAACATTATCATATCATCAGCATATAATCTAGCCTACGCAGGTCTCTTGAGATTTTTTATAAGATCATTTATTGCTATTAAAATAATGTAGCGCTAATTACAGATCCTTATGGTATTCCATTGTCTTAATACATTGATATCATCGTTATTGGCTATAATTTCTATTGGATTTGCTTCGTCTTCTTCCCGATAACGTAAAAAAGTATTGCTGTAATTTTCATTTGTCGATTCTTGTCTGTATGTTTCAGCTAATTCTTCTACATTTTTTTTTGTTTTCATTAATTAGGTTTCCATTTCGTTCTATGTATTTTATTTCATTTTGTGTATTGACGCCAGATGTTTTGTTTACTTTTTTCCATGTAGATGACATGTTTGTATTCCTGTTAATACTTTGTACGTATTTTCTCCAAGACTCTTTTTTAGATCTGGTAGTAATTAATTTTGCATATATGCCCTTTTTTCTTTAGCTCTATCAAGTTCTCATTGGTTTTATGTCTTTTGAAAGTATTTAAAGCTTTTTACTTTGATTTATTGCCAAGTTACACTCTTCATTCCACCAGGGAACAACTGTGTTTTTTGATATATACTTTGTTTTTCCCATTGCAATTGTGGCCGCTTCAGTGATTAAGTTATTAAGCAATTTTAAAATTTATGTCTTCTTTAATTATAGGGATATTCAATATTTCTTCAGTAATTTTTGTTTTAAAAATGTTCCACTTGGCTTGCTTAATTTTTCACTTTTGCAAAGGATTGGTTTTTGTTGTGGGGTTGGAAATTTTGTTACTATTATTGGATAATGATCACTTCAATATAAATCGTCTACAGTTTGCCATGTGTGATTTAGTAACGTCGATGGGTCAGAAATAGACAAGTCAATTGCTGAAAAATTTCCAGTAGCTGCGTTGAAACGACTTTTAGCTACGTCGTTCATTATTGTTAAATTCAGGCTATTGATTACGTTTGCTAATAACTTTCCAGTTTTAGTTGTTTTTTTTTTGGAGCCCCATAAAAGATTATGGCTGTTTAAGTCCCCAAGAATTAATATTGGTGATGGAATTTACATAATTAAGTCGGAAAGTTCATTTCCTTGGATATTTTGGCTGGGAGGAATATAAATGTTACATATGTTGATTTTTTGATTAGTACCTATTGTTACCGTTACTGCTATTGCATCTAAGTTTGTATCAATTGTGATTCTGTTTACTTGTAAATCGGTTTTAGCATATATCGCAGCACCGCCACTAGCATCATTTGTCTGTCTATTTTGATAGTAAAGATTAGGGGAAGTGTGCCTATGTTGGACCCCTGCCTATGACGGACCCCCGGCTTTAATTTTAAATAGCGCGCGGTTACATACACATCGCCGGTTGCCGCTTGCGCACGAAGTTTGTAGTTTAGTATTTGCAAAGTTTCAGACACGTAGCTGTTATAACAGTAAATTTGTGAAATAAAATTAAAATTTGGCGTTGCTGATTTAATAAATTTTTTTGGTAAGTAGCATTTTACTGGTAACATACGTTAAGCTAAGTGTTGCTTTTGTTTTGTATAAAATGACTACACTTTCTTTGTCAAATACTATACTTTGTTTTAGGTTAAATGGTCAAAACAAAAGTAACAGAATTAAATTTGCTGCCTTGTCTATTTGCTTATGATGGACCCCTGTGTCGTTACCTATGACGATAAAATTGGAGACACCTTCAGTTTTTGTTACTTAATGATTAACATAATATATTTTACAGGATGGCTCTACAAAAAAGGCAACAGTGGAACGAGAGTAATATGCAACAAGCTTTAAAAAGCATACAAGAAAAAACTATGGGGTTTAAGCTGGCAGCAAAAACATTTAACGTTCCAAAAACGACTTTGAAAAGGCGCTTTATTAAGCATCAAGGAAGTATCAAAGGTGATTTGGGAGGACGAAGACCAATATTCTCCACTACTATTGAACAGGAAGTTGCTGACCACATTATTACTATGGAAACTCGTTTTTTTGGCCTGACTAGTAAAGATTTGCGAAAACTTATATACGAAGTAGCTGAAAGAAACAATATTAGCCACAATTTTAATAAGGAAACCAGGATGACAGGCTGGAAATGGGTCAGAGGCTTTTTAAAGCGAAATCCTCGAATATCATTACGCACTCCCGAAAATACTTCGTTGGCAAGGGCTCAAGCTTTTAATAAACCAAATATATGTGCCTATTTTACTGCATTAGCAAATATATTAGACCAGTTTCACTTTCTACCGGAAAACATTTATAATATGGACGAGTCCGGTTTGACAACTGTGCAAAAGAAATCGCAGAAAATTTATGCTAGCAAAGGTCGAAAACAAGTTGGTGCTTTAAGTAGTGCAGAGCGCGGGCTACATGTTACGGTCGTATGTGCAATGAATGCAATTGGAACATATGTTCCTCCTGCTTTGATTTTTCCTCGACAGAGAAAGAAAGATGAACTTATGATCGATGCACCTACTGGAAGTATAGCCTTCGCTCAAGAAAAAGGATGGATGACTTCCGATATTTTCTATTTGTGGCTGCAACATTTTTTAAGGTATACAAAGGCTTCTAAAACCAACAAAGTTTTGTTGTTACTCGATGGCCATGTTAGTCACAAAAGTTTTGAAGCTCTCCAGTTTGCAAAGGAAAACGGTATTATTATGTTTTGTTTTCCTGCTCACTGTTTTCATCACGTTCAACCCTTGGACGTAGGATTTTTTAGACCACTTCAAATTTATTACGGCCAAGAAATTCAATTATGGCTGCGACAGAATCCAGGTAAAACGGTGACCCAATTTAAAGTAGCCAGTCTCTTTAATAGAGCATATTTAAAAAGTGCTTTACCATCAAATGCAATCAATGCATTTAAAAAGACAGAAATACAACCATTCAATCCAGATCTCTTCGAGGATTGGCCGAATTTTTGCCGTCTATAACAACAGATAGAGAAAATTCTGAACAAAACCCACTGCCAGAATGTTCTAACCAGAAGTCACCACCGGAACATTGGAGCCAAAATGTTTCTTCGATTGAAAGTTTATCAAAAAGTCCCACTGATCATAAATCAACATCATCGTCAGTTCTAAACATATCGGTAAAAGATATTTGTCATCCTCCTTTAGCTGGAGTATCTCAAGTAATGCAGAAAAGGGGTAGAAAACGGGGTAAAACAAGATATTTAAATTCAACGCTAGAAATTGAAGATATAAAACAAAAAATTGGAGACAAAGAAGCAAAAAAAAGGAAACAAGACGCCAGAAAAGTGAAAAGGCAAGTTCGTGTTTCAACTACAAATGGGTCTGAAGACGATTGTGAATGCTCTTTTGTAGAAGGCGACTCGGACGATGCAGCTTGCATCTACTGTAACGAACTATTTTCGCATTCACGATCCAATGAAAAATGGATTCGTTGTCAAGTGTGTAAGAATTGGTGTCACACTGAATGTGCAGATGTAAATCCTCGACATAAACAATTTGTGTGTGAATTGTGCGCGTAATTTTTTTATTCTTAAAAATACCATGTGTAATATTTTTTATCGTTTGTAATGTCTTTTGATCTAATAAAATAATTTGGTATTTAATTATTTTACACAAAATGCAACGCGTCCATCATGGGCGTACCAAAGGGTCCATCATGAGCGCATATATGTATGCCCATGATGGACCCTTAACAGGATTTTAGTAAATTATGAATAAATTTTTAACATCACTTTTTCTGCAAAATTTGAAACATTTGCCATATTGTACAAATAACGAGACGTTATGTAGTCATATTTAAAGTCTGCTAAGTAAATAATTAAAATTATTATAAAGCTATTTTCTTAATGGGACCATCATAGGCACATTTCCCCTATATGACTTCAAGTTATACACATTGTTGTCTTTAAAATTAGTTTCTTGAAGACATATAATATCAGGTGAATATTTCCTAATAAGTACCTGAAATAAGGGTAGGCTTACCTGAAATAAAGATAGAAATCAACTTCAGCTGAGCTTAAAAAATACGCTAAAACTTGTACGCAATAGAAAAATAATCTTTAAAAATGACACTTAAAATAATTTTAAGAAATGTTTTACATAAAAGTTGGTGTAAAGGAATACTTACTTACGGAACTTTACTTCTTAAAACAAAAATCGAAAAATTGGAAATGATAATTAAGTACATTATGCATCTTGTATGTCTCTAGCGACCTCTTACCTCTAACTTCGTATTGTTGATCTGTTTTACGATAACCTAAAGTATTTCTTCCATCGTTGTAATCAACATACAACCAATAGTATATAATATCGCCCTTCTTTAGTCTAGTCTCTCTGTCTCTAAATATCCAAGATCCATTCCTTGGTTTTAAGATGTCTCTTGCGAATGTCCCAGCTTCTAAACCATCAAAGTCTTCATTTATCTTTCCATGGAACGCAAATAGCTTTATGCCTTCCTCATCTGAAATATTAAAGATCACGTATAATCTCGCTGTTTAACTTAACCTAACTTTATTGTAATTCTTGTTATTTTTGAACATTTAATTCGACAAATTTGTGTGTTTATATAAAACTCCCTTACCTATTACGCTTTGATTTGTGGTGTACCTACTGTGAAATGGTGTGGGCAAATGAAAAGATAATGCGATTTCTGGATTTAAGGAAAAGTAAGTTGCAGCGACCTTGAAAACGTCCACGTCTATTTTGGTTTTACCAAACTGGACTTTTCCAGTTAAAAAGTAAATCTTGCAGTTTACTGCCTAATTGCCTCTCCAAGCAAGTTCAAATGAGCAAAAGTGAAAAAACTTTTTTTGTGCTCCATCGCGGGTTTCCTCGTCGTAGCTTTGGATGATTTTTAATAGTTTTTCGGGGGATATTGCTTTTAAACTGAGTTTTCTTTTTACTTGAACACTTGGAAGCTGCCTCCGCTTGGTATCTCTGGCCAATATTGCACATTTGAAAGATATATCTATGCAATGGTCGATTTTTATGCCGTACTCCGTAAAATGTTTTTCTTCTTCAATTTTTGCTGTAGTATTCCAAATTGACTTTACAGATGACTCTTTATAGCCTTCGCCATTGCCTTTTTTCATGTTAAAATCATAATCTCTGAGATTTTTGCTAGTTCTGTTATGGTATTACCAAAACAGAACTAGCAAATCTAACTAACTAGCTATCTTTCAAACGTAAAATTTCTCAAATATACGAACTCCGAAAATTGAGTCCAAATACAGCTTCTGGCCATCTGCGTGTTTCATGCGACATTTACCGAAACCAATTTTTTGGTTCAAATGACGCTTTAATGACGTTTGTCAAACTGACAACAATAGAATTACCAGACACCTTTGGTCACTACGGACACCTCTTGTCAGTAGAAAACGTGACGTTGCTATGACGTTTAACCAGTTAAAAATCTCGATCTATACAGCCCTTAAAATCCATCCTTGGATATAGGCCTCCTCCTCCTTCTTCCATGCCTCTCTATCTTGCAATTTGCATCCATTTGACCCGGCGTGTTTCTTCAGGTCATCTGACCATCGCATTTGTGGCCTTCCCCTTTTACGTTTGTGATTCCATGGTCTCCAATGTATAATTGTTTTAGTACATCTTTCATCTTTCTGCCTTAGGGTGTGTCCGGCGAACTTCCATTTAAGCTTTGCTACTTGGGTTGAGACATCTTTCACTTTTGTTTTGTTACGGATCCATTCGTTTCTTTTTTTGTCTGATAGTTTAATGTTCAGCATTTGTCTTTCCATGGATCTTTCTGTCTTTGCTATTTTTTCCATATTTTCCTTTGTAAACGTCCATGTCTGAGAGCCATATGTGAGGACAGGGAGTATACATTGATTGAAGATTCTCGTTTTTAAGTATTGGGGGTATTTTGAATTCCTTAGAATATAAGACAGTTTTCCGAATGATGCCCAGGCCAATCTTATTCTTCTCTTTATTTCTTCGGTCTGATTTTCTTTATTTAATTTAGTGATTTGGCCTAGATATATGTCAGTTAAAAATAGTCTAGTGACATAGTCATGATGATAGGAATGAAGAAAATTACGAAAAATGATGAAAGAACAGTTAATCCCCAATTTCCTGTATTATCTTTTCTTGCACCGACAATGCTCTATACCATAATATACATTAATAAAGTACGTACCAGTAATTCTAAAAAAAGCGTATGTGTTATTTTGATGTTTTGTTAGCCTAGGCTAAGATATAGGTGCCGGAGTTAGGCAACACGGATGACGGGGGTTAGACATGTCATGTGAAGGTAGCCGAAGCTCGGGCATTGATGTACGTTTTAGGGTTGAGAATAAACTGATATTTATGTGAAGTAACGATTATTATTTGTAACCCCTCTTCGACAACACGACATGGTGGCAGCTGGTGCTTTGTTTTGTTAACATTACACAAGCAAAGAGTGATCGAACGTGACAGCAGTGCAAATCTTATGCATAACCTATAAATCAGAGGGGACCTAAAATCCTTAAAATGGATGCACCTATCCAAATAAATAAAGAAATGTTTGCGAACATTTCGGCTCCAAGCTCCAAGCTCCAAGAAAATCATGTTGTCCTTGAGATTTTATTTAAATCGTTTTTTGACAAATACAAATAGTAGCAGATAATGTTACACTTATGTTGTTAATGAAAATCCCTTTCCTATTCTCTTTCCTAGGTCTTCTTCTTCTTCCTTCTTGTATGTAGGATTTAAAGCCTGTTTCTTCTCTAATATTAACCTCCTAAATCGTTTAAATTATCGCACCATGTTTTTCTTTGTCTGCCAATACTTCTTCGTCCATTTGCTTATCCATTATTTTATTTTTGAATTTGATTTTACACAGCCCCAGACATGGCACCAATGGAAGAAAAGAGTAGAGTGATATATGTCTGTAAGTGGATTTGGACAAAAATCTGACAAGGATAAACTAGAACTATTGTTGTATTTAATGGGCAATGAAGCAGAAGATATTTTACTTCAAAATCAACCAGCGGAGAATGCATCCTTTCAAGATGTAGCAGATTTTCGAAAATCATTTTATTCCCCGAAGAAATACAATCTTTGAGAGATTTCTATTTAATTCAAGGGTACAGAGGCCAGGAGAACCTATGGGAAACTTTATTTCAAGTCTACATACTCTTGCAGAGCACTGTAGCTATGGAGCTCTTAAAGATGAGTTAATTCGTGACAGGAATGTTATCGGAATAGCTGATAAAAGGTGAGCGAAAGAATGCAACTAAATGATGGTTTGACACTAGAGAAGGCTGGCAAGGCCAAGCTGAACAAGATAGTCAAAATAGAATTATGAGACAGGAGCAGTCAGTTAGTGCAGTTAAACAGGACTACAGGGAGCGTAGTGATAAAAGACATCAAGGTAAGAGTTTTGCTAAACAAGAAACAACTCATGAGAAAGTTAAGAAAGGTTACAGATGTGGATACTGTGGCATACCTACATGTAAAAATAGGGAGAAATGTCCAGCTAAGTTCTCTGAATGCAGATCTTGTTCACGTAAAGGTCATTGGAGTGTGATGTGCAGGAAGAAAGCTGTCAGAGCTGTTAAGTGTTCCACCAGTAGCAGTAGTACAGACGACGAAGGAAGGGATTCAGTAAATCAAGTAGTACATACAGATTCCTTTATTGGCCAAGTGTACCTAGACAAGAAGGATCGTTGGTATGTATACATCTTATTGGATGACAAATTTTGTGGATACAGGAGCAGATGTTAACTGTTTTCCCTATGAAAAATTATCTCCAGCATATATGGGTAAAATTGTGGCATGTGATGCAATTGGTGCAGCGGACGATCATAAATTGGACACAGTGGGTAAGCTACATATAAAATTTACTTATACCGGTTTTACAAATGATGAAACAATATATTGTATTAGGAAGTTGAGTCAACCTATATTAAGCAGAGAGTCAATCATTAGGTTTGATGTTCTAAATTTTTCTAAATGTAAGCTTAAACAGGTAATTAAATCAGTTGCAGTGTTGTTCATTGTAATCAATCTAAGAGTACTATGTTTTCAAAATTTTAATTTAGAGTGCTAAAACTTTAATTTAATTTAATTTAGACTGTTGCTAAAACATTTCCTAGTATTTTTAGTGATATAGGTGAATTTAAAATAGAAATGTCAATTAGAATTAAGCCAGATGCTAAACCTTATGTACAGAGCGTTCCCAGAACTGTTCCTTTACCTATGTTACCAAAATTAAGAATTGAAATTGATAGATTGCTAAAATTAGGGATAATTGAACCCATTGAAGATCCTACTTCTTGGGTCAGCTCAATTGTTTGTGTGGACAAGGGAGATTGTGTACGGCTTTGTGGTGACTATCCTAAACTTAATGAAAACGTGTTACGGTCACATTTTCCTCTCGGGAAAATATCCTATATAATTGAAACTGAAACTGGGAAATTTAGAAGAAATAGATGGCATTTGATTCATGAACCCTACTGTTTCCCTGTATTGAGCACCCAATCAGAATCCTCAAATGATTATGTTCCGCCAATTTCTAGTAACACAAAGCTAATGCCTTGCTCTAATCAAAGCAATGGTGACATACAGGGTAAAATTATGAAGGAAAGTAGTAGGGGGAACCCAGTGTATTTCCGGACAAAATCGAACAAAGTGGAAATCATGTTTTACCTCCATCGGGTCAGGATAAAAGTGATAGTGACACTGATAGTGTATCGGACTTTGAGTGCGTAATGCCTAGCAGGCTAAAAAGACTTGTGAAGAAATCGGTTCATTTAACAGATTATGTTTGTAGTAGTTTAAGTTACTTTAGTATAAGATCATCAATGACACAGGGATCTTTTATGAAAAAAAGGGAGATGTGTTGTTAGCCTAGTTTAAGATATAGGTACCGGAGTTAGGCAACACGGATGACGGGGATTAGACATGTCATGTGAAGGTAGCCGAAGCTCGGGCATGGATGTATGTTTTAGGGTTGAGAATAAACTGATGTTTATGTGAAGTAACGATTATTATCTTTGTAACCCATCTTCGATAACACGACAGTAAGTAGAAAAAAATATACCATTTGTAACATCAATGCTAAAACTGCAATATTGTCCTGAAGCTATTTTTTACAAACAAGATCATATTCAATATAAATTTGACAAGTTATTAAATTCGGGAGTGAAAGACTATATTCGAGGAACTTTCAGGAAACATATCTTTATCGAAATGTATATATATATATATATATATATATATATATATATATATATATAAAAAATTATTCACTTATAAAACTAATTCATGTACCTGGTATTGAAACTGTGAAGCCTTTAGGTTCGTATACTTCCACTACCGCATCAGGCACCTCATACTGAGCTTTGACGAAAGCAAAACAAATAACCACAAACAAAATCTTCATATTCACAAACAACGTTCAATATACGACTAAATATTTAAGATGCGAAGATATAATATGTAAACAATGTCAATAAACAGAGATCTTGATCTTAATATTCGTAGAATAAATTAAAAGACAACATCAGTGGCGTCAAATACGGAAAAACTTGCGTATTGGTAAATTAACAACACTCGGAATTTCAATTTTTTTATAATTTGTTTTAAAATATTAAAGTTTGTTTATTAAGTTTAAATAGTTGACCTCTTAATTGTTAAATAAATGTGGTTAACTAGTAATCTCAAAATTCCCAGAGATTGGTGAAACACATTTAATGTGATTTATTAAGATATAAAAAATCGTTTTTGCCTAATAAGGAATTTTGTATATATAAAATTTATTATCCCATGATTCACTTTATACTTAATAACGATTTTTACCGAACTTTTTGTTGATTCAAAAGGACAGTTTTTGATTACTTAATTTATGTGGATCCATTTAACAGAGCTGGGTCCTGAAACACTTGTATGCCGTGCATGTACTTTTTGAGAAAATCGATTTGAATGCTAATCTCTTGTAGCACTACATTCAATATTAAACTTTATATAATTTTTTTATGATACGTCATTAATCTGTATTTGCCCAATGTTGTGTATGTTGTCATATAGTTAGCATAAGGTCATTTTTTGAGGTAGAGAGCAGTATACCAGCAAAAGTTCTTTTATGATATTCACCTATGGGAATCAAAAAAATGTTTGAAGCAATTTGAATTTATATGACAATCTATGGTGTTTACCAGAATATCCACATAAGGTATTTGGGTGTGCCAGTATATCCACCCTTGGATATCAATTGTTATACCAAAATACTAGCGGACCAACTCGACATCGAGTTTTGATGTAAGTTTTGCTGATATTTAAGAGGGGCGGAATCTAACGATCAATCTTTTCCGTCCGCCTGGTGTAAATGTTCCAAAAATCCTAAAAATAAACTGTATCGACGCCAATTTTTTTAATTGAAAATCGATACAGTAGTTTTTTAGGATTTTCAGGAAGATTTACATTAGGAAACGAAAACAATATGATTTTTAGATTCCGCCTCTCTTAAATAAAAAACGGAAGTAAAACCGGAAGTAACTTTTTTTTGCATATTTTATGCAAATGCCACGTTTCAGAAAAAGAACTCGGTTTGAGAACTCGCGGCCCCGTCCATATGCTCTGGAACACCGTGAAAGAAACAATAATTTTCAAAACTAAATCCGGAAGTAGGGAAGTAAATACTTCCGGTTTTCATAATTCTGAATTCGCGTAAAATTTGCCGAAAAAGTAGACGCAGTAGAAGAAAAAGAACATTATTTTTATTACTTATGAAAACTTTAAAATGTTCCGCTGAGCAAAGTCCAGGTTTGTCCAGTCAACCAATGCAACATGTTCTCGTTAGTTTATGCATTCCACGCCTTTTACAAATTACACAAACTTTTCGTAGAGCCCTCTTTTTTACAATTTTTTTTGGAAAATCAGCCATTGCATGCAACGGTTTCCCAGATGTAGTAGGTTGATTTTTTTTATCATTCATTTATTGACATCCTTTACTATAGTTCCAAAATATCCTCCAGCAGCAGAGTTTTGTATATTTATACATTAATATTTGTTTTTGATGGGCTTGGCTGTAAAATATTCTGGGGTTCAATAGAATAAGATGTAGAGAGTGAAACGTATTTTAGTGAACCACGTATAGGATTTCCCCAAAGGACTGTACGGTTCAACATCTTGGTCCACTGCATAAACTAATCCAATATATTGATTGTAGAATTTAATATGTTTCGGTTTGTTATAATAGAGAACATTTCCTCCTACAACATACCGTTTTCTTTTTTCTCAAAATCCTGCAGTATGTTTATTGGTAAGCAGATAAACGTCTTTCTTGTCCTTGTAGCGAACTAGAAGGAGCATGTTCTTGCGAACAAAACATGATTGTTGACTATCTAATGGAACCAATGTTAATTCTCTTGGAACGCCCCGATTTGATTGAATACTGCCTGTAAGGAAGGTCTTTTGTGTCAATAGAAACTCTCAAAGACGAACAGATGTATACCTTCACAATTACTGATCAGTAGGGTTTAGCAAAGATAAACTACTATTTTCTCGGAAAAAGAAAGATATTCGGTTCCTGAAATGTGCGAAAAATTCCTTAAAGAAAATATTTTGATGCAAAATCGACTTCTTTTGCTTTGGAGAACTGAGGACAAGGAGAACTATCTGCTGATAGTTCTTTATCTTGTGCAAATTGTGGCTCCTCTGCGAGCTGTTCAACTCGGGAACGAGCTGGTTTCTGTGTAAACTGTTCAACTCTTGAAGAACCTGGTTTCTGTGTGAACTGTTCAACTCGAGAAGGATCTGGTTTCTGTGCGAACTGTTCAACTCGTGAAGGACCTGGTTCCTGCACAAGCTCTTTAAGTCTTCTTATTTTTGATTTTGAACCAGTATTTTCATCGTTACTTGTGTCTCCTCCAATAGAGTAGAGTAGAGTAGAGTATTTATTTAACTACGTAACATATACAAATATTGTTTGTAGCAAGTCAAAAAAAACATACATAGTATTAAATAATAAAACATTAACTAATACAAACATGAAACATATTAAACGACAAATAATACAAACATGAAAACATATTAAACAGAAAAATATTTATGGCAAAGTTACGGTAAGCAGTTCAGTGGATGTTCTGCAATGAGTCATATATTCTTCTGAGCAGTAAAAACAATGTTTTAAAAGATTTTTTTTTATAACTTTATCGAAACTATTACAGCTTAGCTCTTTTATTCTTTTTGGTAAAATATTGTAATAGTTATAATTAAGACTATTTTTTTCTGAAAGACTTAATCTACAGCGATTTGTTCGTAGGTAGTGACAGTTTCGCGTATTGTGAACATGGACATCAGACTGCTTTATTAAATGGGCACGTTTTCTGTGAATTTGAGTTAAAACTTGAAATATCAACAGAGTAGGTAGAGGCATAATTTTGAATTTGATAAAGAAAGGTCGGCAGTGTTCTAGATAACTAACCCCTGCTAAAATCCTGACAGCTTTCTTTTGTATTCTAAAAATTTGAAGTGCATTTGTTGAATTGCCCCATATAATTAAACCATAGTTTAGGTGAGAGTGGAATAAAGAAAAATATGTCATTTTTAATGTTTCAAAGTTTCACAACCCTTGCTAGTTGGCGAATAACAAATAATGAACTTGATGGCTGTTTCTTAAGGTGTGAGATATGAGCAGACCAGTTGAGTCGATTATCTATGGTTATTCCCAATAGTTTAACAGTCTCTTTGTTAAATAGATCATTGTGTAAATTACTTGCAGATATAACCATATTTTGCGTTTTATCAGAGTTAAGTTTTAGTTTGTTTGCAGCAAACCATGAGCTAGATTTAGTAGAAACTTCCTCATGAGACATTTTTAAATCATCATTATTTTTTCCTGATATAACGTATGTCGTGTCATCTGCGAATTGTATGGTTTTGTACGGAGATATGAATTTAGGCAGATCGTTGACATAAATAATAAACAAAAGAGGTCCTAAGACCGAACCTTGTGGGACTCCATGTTTTACGGATAGAAAATCAGAGAGATGACCTTTAGACACTACCGCCTGGTGTCTGCCACATAGATAAGAAGTTATAAGCTTAAGAGGGATACCTCTGATTCCATAGTAATTTAATTTGTGGATTAATGTGCAAAATGTCGTGTGAAACGCAGTCAAAAGCCTTTGATAAGTCACAAAGAGAAATTGCTATGCGATTGCCGCTTTCAAGCCCCTCAATCACCTCGCTCACAACATTAAATACCGCGTTCGTAGTAGAACGACCACTTCTAAATCCATATTGTGAGTTACTAAAGTAATTATTTGACTTAAAATAGGAATAAAATTGTTGTTTGATAACCTTTTCAATCACTTTCCCAAAAGTAGAAACAATGCTTATGGGTTTGTAATTGTCAGTTTTTGAGGAATCACCTTTTTTGTAGATTGGTAGTACTTATGAGTATTTTAGTACTTCTGGAAATACTCCGGTGGATAGAATTAAATTAATAAGATGAGTAAAAGGTGTTAAAACTATTTGGCAAGTTTCTTTTAAAATTTTGCTATTAATCTCGTGAACGTCCCTACAATTAGAATTATTAAGCGACTTTATTATTTGAGATACCTCTTCTTCCAGAACGGGCCGAAAAAAAAAATGACTTGCTCGGAGAAGGATAATTTCTATAATTGACGAGGACATCGACGTTAATAGTGGGAAGAGATGTAATTATATTCTCTGCAATTGTACTAAAAAATTGATTCATTTCGTCTGGAGGTAGATCAGGTTGTACCGAACTGGATTTAGTGTAGTTTCTTTTGAAATTTACTATTTTTCAGCAGTCTCTAAGTTTATTATTGGAATTAGTAATAAAATTACAGTAAGCTGACTTTTTAGCAATTTTTAATTGCCGATTATATTCAACTTTTTGTTGTTTATATAATTTGAACAAATCGGGATCCTTGGTGGCCTCTGCAATGTGTTTGATAAGAGAAATATTAGATCTGTTAGACCTTAATTCATTATTAAACCATTGCAACAGGTGTTTTTTCAGTCATTTGTCGTACTTTTTTTAGTGAAAAATACTGTAATATTAAATTATAAAATACTGTGTCAAAATCCGGATCTGCGTCTGAATCGTCTGTAGGTTCAAGACTATCATCACTTTCGGCAATTAACCTCTCTAGTTCCTCTTGTGTCAACGATTTTGATCTGGTAGATTTTCTAGACATTTTACGGAATTCTGTTTAGATATTAGATAACTTGAAATGTTTATAGCTTTATTTAGATTAACGAATTGTTTCCTGTGATCACTCTCTGGAACAAAAGAAACAGAATGACACCAAAAGCGACACTACATACTCATTTCAGCTGAAAATATCTGTGATCTCCATGAGGGTCACGCAGTACATCAATTCAAATTTAAACTGTGGTACCGCGTGACCC